CATTCGTTGACGACGACATACAAGCCAAACATCGTGGCCAGTTTTAAAAGAATCGGTATGGTAACCAGACCGACGAAGATGCCGAAGAAGAACATGGGTTTATCTCTTGAATGAGTTAGTTTTAAGTTTTCAGTGTTCCGCTTTCAGTTGCGGAGAAGGATGAGTTCGCGGAGCAGCGAATCTGTTCCTCTCTCTCGCTGAAAACGTCCGCTTACTTTTCTTCTCGCGTTTGCACCACAGTGACGGCTCGGGACAGCAGGGGCACTTTCAGGTCTCGAATGTAAGCCTGAAGTGCGGTCGAGCCTCCTTCTTGTTTGATTTGGCTGAGTGTCCGAGCCAGTTCGCGAAGTGGCGCGACTTCGGCTTGAGCATTATTCGAGGCGATGTCGACCGCTCGCTTGCTCATCGTGATTTGCTGCTCGGCGTCGGCCTGGGCTGTGCTTAGATCGGCAGCCACCTGGTTTCGCGTGCTGTTAATGGCCGACAATGCCCGGTCGACTTCCGGCGGGGGATCGATGCTGGTAATCAGAGCCGCGTCGAGTTCCACTCCGTAACGTCCCGGCGTGCAGCGGCATTGCTCTTCCATGTAAGAGTTCAGCAGCGGCAAGTTCTTTCGCAGGTCGTTAATCGAAACACCTTCCGACAAGTCGACGCTCGAAGGGTTATCATCGTCATCGACCCCTGGCTTGGCGAGCAAGCTGGCCCCTTTGGGATCGCTGAACGTAGCGATTCGTTCACGCAGCACACTCACGAAATAACCCATGATGTGTTCCAGCGGGCTCTCGACACCAAACAGAAACGCGTACAAGTTGTTCTCGCACACGCGGTATCGGATCTGGCCGTTCACGCCGGTCGTCAGATTATCTTTCGTGACCGCTTCGATGGTTTCTTGCTTCTTCGTCGGGTCCCACACTAAGTCAACGCTTCGCGTGGCAACACTGATCTTGTGCACTTTTTGCCACGGCATTTTGAAGTAAGGACCGCCGGGGCCGACGACGCGAACCTTGGGATAGGTGTAGCGTTTCTTTTCGTCTTCGCTCAAGTTCGGATCGTCCAGCGGCTGAACGAAGTCTTCGCTCAATCGCTCGGCACGGCCAAACGTGGTGATCACTGCACGCTGATCAGGCGGAATGATATAGAACGCAGTCAAAATGACGCGGAAAAAGACATAAATCATGAGCCCGAACGCGAGCCCCATGAAGAACATAGTCAACCAGCCCATGCAGTTTCCCCCTTCGATGTCATGGTCAAAATCAGGTGTCCCCCCAACAATAGCACCGCGTCAGCACGATGCGCATTGAATCGTACTGCGCCCCGTTCCACTTGCAACGGTTGTCCCCTCTGTAGGGCCTGTTTGCGGAGGCATGGCCGTCGCTTGGCGCAGAAAGTTAACGCAGCCGAGGCCAGTTATTCGCTGGCACTTGGGGAATCTTAGGGAAGAAAAACTTTTTGCGGCGACGGTTCGATATCAGTGACTTGGTCTTCGTCGTAGCGACGCACGGTAATATATCCTTGACGCACGTTTACGACCCTGGGGCCGTTCCTCTTCGGTTGAAACCCGCCACATGTTCCGCAAATGGGAAAGAGATATTCCGGCACGCGCACTGGCTTAAGAGTATCCAGCCGCAACAATCCCCATTCATAGATCGCAACGTCCAACTCATCCGGGTCGATCGAAACATCATCCAAGTGTGGGAGCTTTTGCAGCGTATCGAGGCAGCCTTCATCGATCGATGTCGCCGAAGCGTTGAACGATACCAGCTTTTGGCAATCCGCCAGCGAGGCGAGACCTCGGTTGGTGACCTCAGGAGCTCCTTCAATATCTACGTACGTCAGATGGGGTAGTCGACCGAGCGAATGCATTCCTACGTCGGTGATCGTCGTTTCAGCCAGATTTATTTCTTCCAACTGCGGAGCGAAAGTTGGCAGAAGTTCCAAAACCTCGTCCGATGCCAGATCGTTGCTTAGCCAAATCGACTTCAGCTGAGG